CAGAATTGCAATTCAGATTGTTCACAGAACTCCTGCACGGCTACAAAGGGCCACATTATTCATGCACATAAAAACAAACATCTAAAATACTATGGTAGTAGTTTCACCAGTCACACCCTTTACTCACCATTGAGGGGATGAGGTTATCCTGTTTCAGATACTGAATTTCAACATTTCCAGACAGCCAGTTTGGATACAGTGAAGCTTCAAGTAGCTATCAGGGAGCTAATCTAGCAGTTTTCAAAATGGTATTCTGCCAACACCCCATCTGTAAATGCACCATGGATGCAGTTGTCAGTGAAAGCAGTGTCCCATTAGGTGTTGAGTGGCTCACCCTAACTTCTAACTTCTGAAGAAGAGGCCAACTGCAGATGCCTTATGGGTTTAGTCTTCTCAGTGTATTTTCCCATTGCCATCGTGAAAAATGTTGGCAAACTAAGAAAGGGAAAAGGTAACTCAAAAAGTTTTCCTGCCTGCTAGAGAAAAACTCACAGGTGTGGATAGCCAGCAATTAAGCCACACAAAGAAAATAGCTAATAGCCCTTGCATACCAACTGAATCACGGGGGTGGGGGTGGGGTGGGGAAGCCCCATGCCTCCTTTAGCCATGGGCTGAGGCTGCCAGCCCAGAGAGGAGAAGGGAGCTCTTGTGTGAAGCCACTGCATGAAGCCGCAGTGGGACTTGGAGAGCTATAAAAAACCTCTGGTGTCACATGAGCTGACTCTTTGTTCCTTGCCCAGCTTTGGGCCAGGAGCTGCCACCTCTACATCGCTGCCAGCCGACCCTGTACCGTCAGAGTTGGTCCCTGCTCCTTGCCCACCACATTCCGTGCATGAACCCCATGCAGTTGCTGGCCAGGGGAAACCCCCTTTTTTGTGTGTGAGTCGCCAGCGCCTGCAGGGGAGCCCCCTGTCTGCGTCCACTGCTGCTTTGAGGTCCCAGCCGCCATTTTGACACAGATAAAAAGCCTGACAGTGCACCCCGCCAGCTACAAAGGAGTCACTGCAGTCTTTGCCTTCAAAAGCGTGACAGCGCCCCCTGCTGTTTGTGGTTATAACTGCACCAAAAGGGTGTTTGGATGGGTGAAAGTTTCTGTTAGTGTTGTTGTTTGTTTTGGTTTTTTCTATATATTTTTAGTAAAGAACTGTTATTCCTTTTTTCCTACATTTTTTACCTGAATGCCTCTTCATTTTGAATTTATAATAATTTGGAGGGAGAGGTCTTCTTTCTATTCCGGGAAGGTGTTATGGTTTACTTTGGCTGAACACCAGGTATCTACTGGGCCTGCGCCTAGTGGCGGGGGGGGGAAACAAAAAAGGGGGAAGGAAAAAAACTCTTAGAAATCGGAACTGCTGAGAAAAATTATTTATATTTACACAAAATTGGAGAATGATATAAGCAATATGTATACAGAGAAGAACTAAAAATAGAGATACTTCCCACAACCAATGCTCCTCCTCCAACAGACTGCCTGAAATGGTCCGTTCAGCCACCAGAAGAGAAGAGAGAGAGCTGGCTTCCTTCCCGTTTCTTTTATATCGGAGTTGACGTACCACGGTATGGAATATCTTATTGGCAGAATGCACATCAGATGATCTAACCTACTTCGGTTTCCTTCTCAGGGAGTCTCACTAACCCATCACAATCTCCACCCCTTATTCCATACCATGTTATGTAACATTCATATCCTATATTTGCCTAAATCCCACGCTTATATAGGTCTTGTCTTCTACAGTTGTCTCATCGTTGAGCACCAGCATCAGCTTAGTTCAGGTCTTCCTCGTTTAGTGACTTTTCCTGCAACATACAACTCAAAATACGAATTAGTTTTTCTCCAGAGTTAAATCTCCTTGAGGCACACACTGGGTTTCCCCATCTTCTCTCATTATCAACTAGGTGTATCCAGGCCCTTGAGCAAAGAAAATCCCACGAATGGGCTTGCCTTTGCTCGAGGGAGGGTTAACCCAAACTGCTTTACCTAACATACCTCTCAAATGAATTACTGGGACTTTGTCGACATCCACAGTGTGAAGGGGCTCTGCTTGGGCAGGGCCGGCTCGATTGACGGAGCCTCTAGTGTTGACTAACCAAGTAGCTTTTGCTAGGTGCTGATCCCAATTTTTGAAAGTTCCCTCATCCAATGCCTTCAGAGTAGTTTTCAGCAATCCGTTGCATCGCTCAACTTTTCCAGCAGCTGGTGCGTGATATGGGATATGATATACCCATTCAATGCCATGTTCCCTTGCCCAAGTAGTAACTAAGCTGTTTTTGAAATGGGTCCCATTGTCTGACTCAATGCACTCTGGGGTGCCGTGTCACCACAGTACTTGCTTTTCAAGACCCAGAATGGTATTTCGGGCAGTTGCATGAGGTACTGGATAAGTCTCTAACCATCCAGTGGTTGCTTCCACCATGGTGAACATATAGCATTTACCTTGGTGGGTCTGTGGCAGTATGATATAGTCAACCTGCCAAGCCTCTCCATATCTATACTTATCCCAGCATCCACCATACCATAGGGGCTTCACTCGCTTTGCTTGTTTAATGGCAGCACATGTCTCACAGTCATGGGTAACCTGGGAAATAGTGTCCATGGTTAGATCCACCCCTCCGTCTCGTGCCCATCTATAGGTGGCATCTCTGCCCTGATGGCCTGAAGCATCATGATATGAGGAAGAAATTCTTTATTGTGAGGGTGGTGAGGCACTGGAACAGGTTGTCCAGGGAAACTGTGGATGTCCCATTCCTGGAAGTGTTCAAGGCCAGGTTGGATGGGGCTTGGAGCAACCTGGTCTAGTGGAACATTCCCTGTCCATGGCAGGGGGGTTGGAATGAGATGATCTTTAAGGTCCTTTCCTGTAATGATTCATATTACAGGAAGGACGCTGCATTCTGGGACTTGTAGTTCTTTAGGACTCTATCACACATGCGCATTGAGGTGCTCTAATGTCATTGGTTGAAAGGTCACGTGTTACAGTTTGAACTCTGTATTTAAACTGCTGTTCTTGGTAATAAAGCTAATTCAGTTACTGCACATACATGTGAGTACCTGGGTTTGTGCCAAACAGGTGCCACAGATGACACCCGAATCGGGACATTCAACAGACATCGGGAAACAGAAGTGTTAAGCTTTGGGATATCTGCCAGTGGCACTCCATCCTCATAGAATTAAAAGGAAAAAGGAAGAATTCTTCAACAAGTTGCGCGCACCAGTTACCTCTGCAAACACAGGACAAAAAGAGAAAAAAAGGACGAAAAAGGACAAAAGAAGAAAGATCCAGCTTCAGCAAACAGAGGTAATCTAAATCTATCGAGGATGGGAGGGAGGTATTCCCACAAGGGAAGGTTTTCCCCAGAAATTAAAGAAAAAGCTGAAGCGTTCTTAATATATATTACCATAATTATACTGGGATTCCTGCTGGTCAAGACTTTTAATGTGACTGCTTGGCAAAAAAATGGTGTTAGACTTTATAAGAGAGAGATCTTTAGAGACTTAAATGCAATTAAGAACTTGTGCATGTGGAAAGATCTAATGAATGCCTTAAAAATTCGCAGCAGGAAAGCAACTCGACCCGCAGCTGCAAACCCTGCTCCTCCTGCCCCCCTCTGCAGCCCCTGCCACTCCACCTTGGGTTTCCCCAGAGAGCTTGCGCAAGAGAAGGGGTACGGGAAGTCCCTTACAACAGAGAGGGGAAGAGGGGCAAAAGGGAGACCACGAGCAAACTGGAGCAGCGTTTTTCTCCCGCTGCCAACAAAGGGAGGAGGGTGGCGCGCAGCCGCCGCTTACCGTGCGAGGGCTTTGCCCAATGCCACGTGGCGTGCGGATAGAAGACGCCACACCGCTTTCTCGCCAGCACACAGTTTGCGAGGAGCCGAATGGCACCGCGCCACCGCTTTCTCGCCGGTGCACAGCTAAAATGGAGCTTCCCTTTCCACTGCCGCGGATTGCACAATCAGCACGTGGCTGCCACGTGGCAGCGACACGGACGCCGCCATTTTGCTCCCGCCGCAGGGCGGAAGTGAGATCTTCTCTTCCACCGATGCCACCATGTTTTCAAATGTTGCGGCGGGGCGGGAAGCAGCTGGGGAATCCATGGCAAGAACAGAGCCCCCCGACCATACAGGGGCTGGCAGACAGAAAGAGGAGCCGCCGAGACGTAGAAGCAGGGTTGCCACTCGGAGCCCAGCTCGGCACGGCGGGGCACCAGCGGCGGCAGTTTCACCGGCGCCTGAAACGGACAAGCGAAGGTGGGGTCGAGGCCGTGCCCGGAGCTGTGCCGGGTCCCTGCCGTGCCATGGCTGAAGCGGCGGCAGTGCCGCGGCCGCGGAGTCCCGGCAGGGGGAGAATGGGCAGCGGGGGTGTGTGTCTTGCCTCGCTGCAGAAGTCCCCCTGCAGCGCCGCCCGTGCCATGCTGGGGAGCGGCGGGCGCAGCAGGGCAAGAAACGGCCAGGGGGTCGGCCCGACCCCGGGTCGGCTATGCGGGCTGGCCCGGCGGCACAGCTCTGCATGGCTCAGGCGGGAGTGGGAGCCCATGGGGGCGGGGCGTGGGAACACGGCCAGGCGAGCGCGGCCCGGGACCAGGGCGGCGGCAGTGGCAACAGCAGTTTCAGCGGGGACAGTGGCCAGCCTGGCACCCCCCCACTCAGCCCGGCGTGGCACAGCCAGTTCTGGGCCAGCTGCCGCCGGCAGCAGCACAGCAACAGTAACGCCTGAACCCCCGCCATCAAAATCGAACAACGTTTCCAACAGCAGAGCTGAGCAGAGGCTTTCCCAGCGGGGCGGGCACACAGCCCCGCCGAGCTCCACCCCACGCCAGCTAGAATACCCAGGAGCACAGCTCCCAGTGCATTCCAAGTCCTGCAAAACCACAGCACCATTGTCCACAGCATCCACCAGCATCCAACTTTGACCAATCCTGGACATAACTACAAAAAACTGCAGGTTCGCATCTATTCCTGCCCATTTTCCATCGAAAACTGACTGAACTGTTATTAACATGTTTGCTAAGATTGTTTTTAAAGGTAAAGAACAACTACAAGAGGTGAACGAACGAGAACCTGGACATTATCTGCGTTCCAAAAACCTGAGACAACATAGACTGATTTCTCACCGAGGACACTGGATTTCAAGCTGTGTGAACAGATTGTAATGATAACCTGTCTATTCTAGGCACAGACTGTGATCAGAAATTGAAAATTTACCTTCAATAGCTATGCTTTACTGCCATTCAGAGATCACTCATATAACTGAATTTAACCATATAAAAAATATCACCACACTCACCCACAGGACCAACAATAGTAGAAAGAGCACACTACGCATTAAGAAAAATATAACAAAAACAACAAAAAAGGGGGGGAAGGGGATATGAGTCTCTTCTCTATATGTGTAAACCTACATTAACTCTTCAAAACAGGAACAATCACAAGAAACAATAATTGATGAAACTAAACCAAAAGAAACATAACTAATAACCACTACCAAACCCAAACTACGTGATTGAAATACAGAGGCATAATAAAAGGTTTAAGTATGCATGTGTGAGGAGAGAATGAAAAGGTGGCCACCTAAATATGAATGAGAAAGTTGTGTGGATGTATGTATGTGTGTGTAGTGGTTTAGTTTTAGGCCTTCCTTGGCAACCAGGTCGAAACCAAGGAAGTACCATATCCCAGTATTCCATCCTATTTCTTTACGTAAGCAGAAGTATTAATTCAAGGGGACAAGTAGGTTGAGCCCTTCTTCTCTTCCAGTGGACTTGAAGAAAGAAGCTCCCTGCGGCTCCTCCAGCCGTGGGGGTGTCGGGCCTGTGGTTTGTTGAGAGGCCACTGCCTTCTGCCTTCTTCCCGAGTTCACGAGGGAGATGAGGTGATTTGTGGACTGAGACATTTCTGCTTTTCTCAAGGAAAGTATTGAGATTTCGTTCACTAGCTCTTATTGACTGTGTATATCTATTTCTGGTTTTTTCTTTTCTTTATTCTTTTGGGGGTGTTTGGGGTTCTCTTTTTATACGTATATAGTATTGTAACAGTATATAAATGTAATATATGTAAATATATATATATATACTGCTTTGGTTGTGTTTTCGGTAGTTTTTTCCCTTCCAATTCCTTCCCCTGTGTTCCTAAAAAAAGACGGGGGAAAGGGTTTTCGTTGTAGTGTTGGGCATTTGGCAAGGAGCCAAGCTCAAACTGCCAGTGTGTGAACTCAATATTAACAATATGTCAATTAAAAGCACAATTATACAACAATATCACCTCAACCACGTAAATTATCCTCAGATAACAGTAAATACAATATCCATACCCTCAGATAAAAAGTCTTACATAAACCATAAGGAATTGAAGGTTATACAGTTAATAAGGTTATGAATATTGCACGGTTAAGAAGGTTGCACAAGCTAATAAAGTTATTACCAGTTTTAATAAAGGCCTTACCACATTAGGCCCTGGTTTTATAGATGGTTAAGATAAGTTTGTCTACATTAAGAAATGTTTAAGAAAAAGGTTTAAAAATTGTTCTATAACTTGTTATAATTATAATAAAGAAAGGGGAAATGTAACGATTCATATTACAGGAAGGATGCTGCAAAGCATTCTGGGACTTGTAGTTCTTTAGGACTCTATCACACATGCGCATTGAAGTGCTCTAATGTCATTGGTTAAAAAGTCACGTGTTACAGTTTGAACTCTGTATTTAAACTGCTGTTCTCGGTAATAAAGCTAATTCAGTTACAGCACAAACGCGCAAGCTGGGTTTGTGCCAAACAGGTGCCACACTTTCCAACCCAAACCCTCCTATGATTCTATATATGTTTTAGCTTATTACTCCATTTACAAACATATCAAAGTGAATACTCATTATGATCAACAAGGTTTTATAGAGGCATAATATATACTTAGGAGCCTTTATAATCATGGTGCAAGAAAGATATTACTTCCAACAAACCCTACCAAGTTATTTTCTTTTGGGGTTCCAATAATATTGCAGAAGACTAGAGCCTAGCAATTAACATGCTTTTCACATCACTCAGTTAAAATTAGACATTCAAATTGTGTCATGTAAATGGCATCAATTTTCTTTAAGAGAAGTTCTTTATAGCTGCACAGCCCAATAAAACACTTTAACACAGAAGACCAAAGCCATTTTATTTTTAATGTATCTCCATGAACACAAAGAATAGCTTGACAGACATTCAAGGAAGGAAATCAAACTGGATAATTCAAGTACTTTTACATTCCAGAAACATTTTTTCCCCTGAAATTCATACCTGAAGGTCATAAGAAGTTTCACAGGGCTTTTTGTTTCTTATTGTATAAACTATAGCAATCATGACTCATAAGCAGAAATACTGTTCTAAAGCATTAAGCTGTAGGTGTGTCTGGAATGGCATGTTAAGGAGTCCAGGAAATGCTGACATGCCACTGAAATTAAGGGCAGGCATGCTTCAGAGCCAAGTAAGGGAACAAATATCTTTCTCAAACAATAAGTACGTGATTCTTCACACTCCCACTGACAAAGCTATCTGCAATATTAATAGTTATTGTACTTATGTATATAAATGAAAGGT